CAATGTTATTCTCCATTTTTAACCCAATGTTCCTATTGTGTCCGATTATTAGTAGTATGAATTAGTAGCACGATTTTGCAGCGCAGCAGGTACCCACAGCTAGTATTAAATAAAGGGTGTGTAGAGTAAATTCCCCACCACTGCCAGAGTGACAGTTGGTGGATCATTGAAGTAGACTATGAAGGCAAACTTTTAGAGCAAAAAAAAAACTATATACCCAATTGCAAGGTTTAAGCAAAAAAGCCATCTTTTCTGCCGGACTAAGTGGCTAGTCGTTCTACGGCAAATTACTGACTCATATTTCACTTGCTCTTTTTTGTAGGAGAATTTCCTCATCAGTTTAGAGCCACAAGATTTGGCCATAGAAAGCAGCGAAGTGGGAAATACTGCTCTTAACAAGGCAGTAAGGTAAGTGGAGTACAGGATAGATAGATAGATATAGATACTAGATAGATAGATAGATAATATGTTTATTACATAACTTTGAGAATATACACCGTGGAGAGTATCCTTAACCAATATGGCGGATAGTAATGATACGGATCGTGGCGAAGGTCAGGCACAGACCGCTCCCCTATAAATGTAACTGTTTATAGAGAATATTAAAGCAAATCTTCGCATAAACGTTAAACTAACAAAAATATGTATGATGATATTTAGAGATTTTTCGAATTTTCGGAAACATATTTAGGCAATTTTTCGAGATACGTATTTGTATCCAAGCCCAATTGCAGGTCTGCATTAAAAAACCCACGTCTCGAGTCAACGAACACCTTAATTAAGAGAATACAACACTAGTTTTGCAACAGCCACATAGAGCCACACCGAGAAGCAGCAAAGATTCGGGTGCTTTGTAACAAAGCTTTTATTATAAACAAAGAAAATGATTACAGATTATTAAAAGTTCAAATCAGCATTTTCAAAATCATGATTATTCCATGACCATATATAACACAGAAGTTTTTGACTTACACCGTCAAATTGTATTGTAGCATGTAGAGTAGAAATACACTTCAGGGGCACGGAAGCTGATAGTACATGTAATACCTAACTAGGGCGATTGACGTAGAAATAAAAAAAGTACCCAATACGTACACAGCTGCAACAGTGCCGTGTGATTTGTTGCAACAGTCGATGCTTATAATTAATGTTGATAAAATGCATTGAAACAGCTACATATATATAACTAATAATTATGCCAACACGCTGAGAACGTAATTTTCCCAATTGGACAAAAAACCATTTTATCACTGGCTTCATATCGACACAACCGCAAATTCTTTTCACATATATTAACAGCGATCTGGTATACGAGCAAAGTTTCCCATCGCGTTTGCATTGCCAGTGACTTGCTAGTCGAGTACTACATGTATAATTATGAATATATATATATGTGTGTGTGCCATTAGAGTCGCTTAATAGCAGAATGTCCAATAGTTGAACTTTTAAACTTGCTGCCTTTGCTGCCAGTTGAACACTTAGGTGTTTGGCCTGTATCACATACTGGCTGTGACACTCCAGGTGACTGAAATACAATGAAACATATATTACTATACTACAAGATTCATCTTCGTAATGTTCCCGTGTACCACCGATCTACATCTACAATTCATAGGAAACACAGATTCAGTGTCGCAAATTTAAAGCTGGAAGAACAAAGACATCTACGCAAGGTTCAAACTAACCTAATCATCACATGAAAACAGTGGAATAAGCACTAGGTAGTTGCTTATCTATCAATAACCTTTAAAAATTGTTATTTTTACTTTTGCACACCGCAGCTTTTGCAAAACCACTGGACGTGTTTTCCACACACACGCATACGCACGCACACACATCCACCCACCACATAATACGCAGTCACGCACGCATACATGCGCACACACAAATCACACCACATATGCATTTCTGCACTCGTTACAATGAGATGCGGTAATCTGGAATACAACAGGTTACACCTTGAATAATAACAAGGCAGAAAGGAAGGTTTTTTGTCGAGTTAGTTCAGAGACGTTTATATAAAAGCTAAAAAAACACACGAATGTATTCGGTAACCACGACATTTATGTATGGGAGGTCTCAGAATCCATCGTGGCTCTGAAAATAAATCAGAATAATTTCTTTAACAAAAGGTAAATTTAAGCAACACAATAGAAAAAATCTGCTAATAAAAAATCGTTGTTTAAACGAACAGTTGTCAGTTGTTCACTACACTATACCAATAACGTTCACACAATAAAAATTGATTGTCATTAATACCAACTCAAAATGCAGTCAATAACCATTTTTGGAAAGTTTGGATGAAATTGGACAAATGAATGTTTGGCTATTGCCACTTTGTCCACGCAACCTATGAAATCCAGAGACATCCAATGGCTTTAACAATGCATTGTAGACAGATATGCTCATGATTGATAAATAGACACGTAGTTTTCCAGCATGCTGGATCGAGCAACTCTTGCGACAAATGATAACCAAACAAAATCCCTAATTCTAATAGGAGCTCGGCATACATAAAAGAAAGTTGACTCTGAGACAACAACTATAAGTAATATCGTCGTGTAATCCACTTATGTGGTCTACATCCGTTTTTGAAATGACGATAAAATGTGTGTATCATTAACGGAACCACGCAATTACTCACCATCCTAGAGTACCCGCGTAACTCATGCTTGCATACACAACTAAATGATGCACACACAACTCACCGCCAAGTTATCACAGCTGGCGAGTCTGGCCACTTGCATGGTGGTGGAAGGAGTGCCGTTGCCCCACGGGGACATCATTGTCGACATGGCTCGCTTCAGTTTTCTTGGTGTCTTGTTGAATGAGAACGCTCTCGCCACCTTATTAGTTGTTTTTGTTGCAAACCTGAGAATGAGGTAATTTGGCTAATGTAAGCTTGCGACTGTGATACTAACTGGATATACCCCCAATGCGTCTATGCTCTCTCATCCCCAGTGTACTTTCTCTCAAAATACTTTCTCATACTTTCAATCTTTACTAGCTCAGATAGCGATATTCTCACGGGCATGTCCTAGACATAGTTCTTCTTCAACGTACATCAAGTTAGAACTATGAAAGCTACACTATGATGCATAATCATTCCATTAGTCAGCACTAGACTCCTTACTCTGCATTATTTTAGTACCACGTTTGTAAAATGATGCTGGGCACTTTAGGCGATACATCGTTCCATTGTGATGACATTGCTACCAACAGCTAACTTAGCTATTAATGTACTGTCAGCCACCTGATGGGCAGCTGATTGGATTCTAGAATATATAACTCCTAACCATATTTTAAATTTTTATTAGCAACTACCACTGCATTTTATATTTTTATCTATTTTTTAATATGAAAATTTGTGTGTGTGTGACTTATGTGAAATTCTATAATACAATTTTGTGATTCTTCTTTTAATTGTATAGATTTAATTTTAGTATAGCAAATGATAATGCTGTTAAATGTGATTGGAAACATGATCAATTTCAATTTCATATTGCGTGATGACATGAATGTTGTTTTGCAAGATTTACGTTGCATGAAATTTTATC